GGCACATGGGCTCAGTAGTTGTGGCTCACGGGCTCAGTAGTTGTGGCTCACAGGCTCTAGAGCACAGGCTCAGTAGTTGTGGTGCATGGGCTTAGTTGCTCTGCGGCATGTGGGATATTCCTGGACCAGGACTCGAACCCGTGTCCTCTTCATTGGCAGGCGGATTCTTAACCAGTGCACCACCAGGGAAGTCCCCACTTACAGATTTCTAATTTTGCACCCACAAAACTTTAGTATTCATTTGTTAACTTGCCTATTTCTCTTTTTGTAGACTCTTAAGATACCGTGATATAGAGACTATATCTTTCCTTTCTTTTCTTATTGTTTTTTTTTTTCTATTAAAGTACTGTTGATTTACAATGTGTTAGTTTCAGGTGTACAGCACAGTGGTTAGTTTTATATATATATATATATATATATATATATATATATACATATATATTCTTTTTCAGATTCTTTTCCCTTATAGGTTATTACAAAATACTGAGTAGAGTTCCTGTGCTATACAGTAGGTCCTTGTTGGTTATCTATTTTATAGAGACTACGTCTTTCTTGTATTTATATCTCTAGAGTCTCTTAGCCAGCAATTATTGGATGGTGAATGTTTGGATAAGTTTTTTTATTTTTTATTTTTATTTTATTTTTATTTTTTTTTTTGGATAAGTTTTTTTAATGTACATTTTTAGAAAACATACAAGTAGATGAAAAGGTGCTCAACATCATTAATCATCTGGGAAATGCAAAGCAAAACCACTATGAGTTGTCACCTCACACCTGTTAGCATGGCTATCATCAAAAAGACAAGAGATAACAAATGCTGGTGAGGAGGGACTTCCCTCATGGCGCAGTGGTTAAGAATCCACCTGCCAATGCAGGGGACACGGGTTCGAGCCCTGGTCCGGGAAGATACCACATGCCGTGGAGCAACTGAGCCCATACGCCACAGCTGCTGAGACCCGCATGCCTGGAGTCTGTGCTCTGCAGCAGTAGAAGCCACCGCAGTGAGGGGCGCCTGCTTGCTGCAGCTAGGGAGGGCCCGTGCACAGCAACGAAGACCCAATGCAGCCACAGTAAATAAATAAAATAAATAAATTTATTAAAAAATAAAGAGAGACTAACTCAAACATGTTTTCAAATTGTATATATTTCAGTTTATTTACTTCATAAAATAACAAACCTGAAATTCTGAAAACTTCTTAGCAAACTTTGTGGGGAAAAACCTGCTATTACTTATACTGAAAGCAAAAGTATATAGCTTTGTAGCCCTAACAGAGACAAAACTCAGCTTGATGTGACATATTAAACGTAAAAATAATTAGGTGGAAAACTTAAAACTTTGTCAACTTCCTTTAGAGTGGGTACCCACTAAGAGTTATAACACTTAAATTTGGAAAATCAGTCATCTCAAAAGATTTTAACAGCTTAAATATTTTTCATACTTGTGTTCCTGAAAGAATGGAAATGAAAAGCCCAGGAAACAGTGTGATATTATTACTGGTTATAATTTCTATTTTTAACACTCTAACTTGCTTAGTTCTCATTTCTTTTTGCATTTCAGCTTGTGGTTGGCTTTGCAAGGCTGACATTTTCTTTGGTGACAATCTTTAAAACAAACTAGAATTTGGTCACTAACTTCCTTATCCCATAGAACATTGAAGAACGTTTTTAAAAAGTCTCTTAAATTGAACTAAGGAGATAAAGCAATACGTTGTTTTGGTAGGAGGTTGTGTTTTATTTTGTTATGTTGTTTCTTTGTTTATTTTTAACTTCTAGAACTACCTTAATGTTTTCCAGGATCTCCCCCCAGCACCCCCCCTCCACGCACACACGTGATGGTGGCTTTTTTTGTTTTTGGCCACGTGGCTTGCAGGATCCCAGTTCCCTGACTAGGGATTGAACCCGGGGCCACAGGAGTGAAAGCGCCAAATCCTAACCACTAGACCACCAGGGAACTCCCAAAGGTGGCTTTTATTTATTTATTTATTATTATTATTATTTTTTTTTTGCGGTACGTGGGCCTCTCACTGCTGTGGCCTCTGCCGTTGCGGAGCACAGGCTCCGGACGCGCAGGCTCAGCGGCCATGGCTCACGGGCCCAGCCGCTCCGCAGCACGTGGGATCTTCCCGGACCAGGGCACGAACCCATGTCCCCTGCATCGTCAGGCGGACTCTCAACCACTGCGCCACCAGGGAAGCCCAAAGGTGGCTTTTTTAACATCCTTTTGTAACTGAGCAATTTACTGACACATTAATTAATTAATTAAAATTTAATTTTTATTTTATATTGAAGTATAGTTGATTTACAATGTTGTATTAGTTTCAGGTGTACAGCTAAGTGATTCAGTTATACATATACATATATCTGTTCTTTTGCAGACTCTTTTCCCATATAGGTTATTATAGAATATTGAGTACAGTTCCCTGTGCTATCAGTGGGTCCTTACTGATTATCTATATTATATATAGTAGGGTGTATATGTTAATCCCAAACTCCCAATTTATCCCCCCTCCACGTTTCCCCTTTAGTAACCGTAAGTTTGTTTTCGAAGTCTGTGAGTCTGTTTCTGTTTTGTAAATAAGTTCATTTGTATCATTTTTTTTTTAGATTCCACATATAAGTGATATCATATGATATTTGTCTTTCTCTGACTGACTTACTTCACTTAGTATGATAATCGCTAGGTCCATCTGTGTTGCTGCAAATGGCATTATTTCATTGTTTTTTATCCATTCATGTGTTGATGGACATTTAGGCTGCTTCCATGTCTTGGTTATTGTAAATAGTGCTGCAATGAACTTTGGGGTGCATGTATCTTTTCGAATTATGGTTTTCTCCGGATATAGCCCAGGAATGGGATTGCTGGATCATATGGTAGTTGACACATTAATTTATGTACTGCTTTGTATCTTATCTGATTTTTATGTTGTGGACTTATTAGAAAGATAACCTGAACTGCTAAGACAACATTCTTCTTGCTTCTATTAAATCCAGCCAGGTTCTGTGTTCTGAGTTCCAGTCTCTAGGCCCTAAAGAGAGGTGTGGGCTTCTGTGTTTCATTCATTCAGAACCTTCTGCTCTACTCCAGACCTACTCGGTCAGAATCTGCACTTTAAAAAGATCTCCAGATAATTCCTATGCACATGAAGGTTTGAGAAGCATTGGTCTAGGTGACTCAGTATAATATGACAAAACTACTCAAGATAAAGCAAGTTGCTTTTGTGAAACAGGAACACATTGGCCTCAGTACTCATAAGCACAGAAAATGACAAGCCCAAATGTAAGAGTGGCAGGCAAAAATCAGAAATCTTTGAAAGGTTGTAATGCGAGCATAGTGCAATAGATAGATAGGAAGAAAAGAGATTATTTTGGGGGTCAGGTTTAAGTGGAATGAGACATAACTGATGACCGTTGTACCACACCCTACCATCACATTTATGATTACAGTCAGTAATATTAAGTTCCTTACAGCACATAAAAGTACCAGTTAATGAGCCTTCATTGGCAAAGATGGAATAATCAAGCATTCAAACTGATTAAGCCTTAAGATGAATATGGCATTGCTAGTGATGTCTAACATTAGATAAGTTAGATAAATTGGTGTAAACCTACCTCAGAAATCTAAAATTTCCTCTCTGTAAGATTTTGATCTTTATTGAAACACTTTGTAGTGGGTGAAAATAAAATTTTCTGTTAATTCTGTAATAAGAACCTACAGTTTATTTTATGCCAACCATTCTAAAGCCTTTTTAAGACTTACTGATTTTGTATATATATATATTGCCTCAACCTCATTCTGAGGGAATAGAAATACTTATGATTTACAATGTTCACCCAGCCAGAGTTATTTAAAAGCAAATAGATAGGTTTTTAAAAGCATAATTTATTTATAATAGGCCATGGCCTCCAGTTTTCGTGCTTGTGGTGGAACTGTTTATTTAGAGTACATACATAAACCCCAGAGTTGGTAATAAAATACTAGAGCCAGCATTTTACTTTGGGGAAGTCATACCGATTTATTATTTGAGCAAGGGTATTTGCTTTTTTTTTTTTTTTTTTTCGGTATGCGGGCCTCTCCCTGTTGTGACCTCTCCCGTGGCGGAGCATAGGCTCCGGATGAGCAGGCTCAGCGGCCATGGCTCACGGGCCCAGCCGCTCCGTGGCATGTGGGATCCTCCCGGACTGGAGCATGAACCCATGTCCCCTGCATCGGCAGGCGGACTCTCAACCACTGCGCCACCGGGGAAGCCCGGTGTTTGCTTTTTAGCAATGAAATTGGACCAGTATAAAAAGCTATATTAAAAAAAATAAAGAAAGAAAAAAGCTATACTGGTGGGCTTCCCCGGTGGCGCAGTGGTTAAGAATCCGCCTGCCAATTCAGGGGACACGGGTTTGAGCCCTGGTCCGGGAAGATCCCACATGCCGCAGAGCAACTAAGCCCGTGCGCCACAACTACTGAGCCTGTGCTCTAGAGCCCGTGAGCCACAACTACTGTGCCCGCGAGCCACAACTACTGAAGCCCATGTGCCTACAGCCTGTGCTCCGCAACAAGAGAAGCCACCGCAATGAGAAGCCCGCACACCGCAACAAAGAGTAGCCCCCACTTGCCACAACTAGAGAAAGCCCGCATGCAGCAACAAAGACCCAATGCAGCCAAAAATAAGTAAATAAAATAAATAAATTTATTTTTAAAAAGCTACATTGGTGGGGCTTCCCTGGTGGCACAGTGGTTGAGAGCCTGCCTGCCGATGCAGGGGACACGGGTTCATGCCCTGGTCCGGGAAGATCCCACATTCCGCGGAGCGGCTGGGCCCGTGAGCCATGGCCGCTGAGCCTGCGCGTCCGGAGCCTGTGCTCCGCAACGGGAAAAGCCACAGTGGTGAGAGGCCCGCGTACCGCAAAAAAAAAAAAAATAATAAAATAAAATAAAAAATATAAATAAATAAATAAATAAATAAGCTATATTGGTTAAATCTACTGCTTGAATTGATCTGTTTCATCACAGAGCTCTTTCCGGTAGCGAACTGGATACCTGCTTCTTATTTAGGAAGGATAAAGCAGGCTGTAAAAAAGGCAGATCAAAGGCACTAAAAACAGACACTTCACAAAAGAAGACATAGGAATGTCCAATAAGCACATGAAAAGGTGCTTAACATCATTAGTCATCATGGAAATGGAATTAAAACCCAACTGAGATATCACTACAGTGTCTAAAATAAAAAAGACTGACAGCACCAACTGTTGGCAAGGATGTGGAGCAACTGAAATTTTCTTGAACTGCTGGTAGGAGTGTCAAATGGTATGACAACTTTGGAGAACTTTTTGTCAGTTCCTTATAAAGTTAAACATACATCTACTCTAGGACCCAAGAATCCCACTCTTAGGTATTTTCTCAAGACTCTTCAAAAAACTGTACAAAAATGTTCATAGCAAATTTATTTCTAGAGCCCCAAACTGGAAACAACTCAAATATCTATCAGCAGTAGAATGGATTATCAACTAACAGTATATTTATACAATGGAATACTACTGATTAATAAAAAGGAAATAAATAAATAGGACACTTGCAACAACATGGACAGATCTCAAAACCATGTTGAATGAGGGGAGCTCCCTGGCGGTCCAGTGGTTAGGACTCGGCACTTTCACTGCCGGGCCCGGGTTCAATTCCCTGATCGGGGAACTAAGATCCCTGAAGCTGCGCAGCGTGGCAAAAAAACAAAACAAAACAAAAAACAGTTGAATGAAAGAAGTTGTTCTATTGGATTCCATGTAAATAAAATTCTAGAACAAGCAAAACTAACTTAGGGTGATAAAAATTAGAAAGTGGTTGGAGGGGGATTGGGGATTGAAAGGGGATTGACTAAAAAGAGGCACAAGGAAACTTTCTGGGATGAAGGATATAGTCTATGTCTTCATTTGAGTGGTGGCTACATGGGTATGTAATTATCAAGACCCATTGAACTGTATACTTAAGATTGATATGTTTGGGAATTCCCTGGTGGTCCAGTGGTTAGGACACCACGTTTTCACTGCCAAGGGCCCAGGTTTGATCCCTGGTTGGGGAACTAAGATCCCACAAGCCATGGGGTGCAGCTAAAAAAAAAAGATTGATATGTTTTATTTTATGTCAATTAAAGTTCATTATGCTTCAATTTAAAACATAAAAGCCCTTCTCACTCTCATCGCGTCCAAGAAAATGTCTGCCCAGACAACTTACAATGCAAAAGTTTCTCCTTCAGGCTAAGTCCTTCTAGGTGGTACTTCACCAGCCCACACTGCACCTCTAACTTGGTCCCTCTATGTGGACTGATTACCTATCTGACCCTGATGATCCTGTGATTTAATTCCAATCTCACTTTGATATTTCAGTAAAGGCTGTCCTTCTTGCCTCAACTTTTATTTTTATTTCCTGTCTTAGCTTTTCTTTGATCCTTTGACTCTAATCACTTGTTGGTAAGGCACAATATATGTGAAAAAAAAATTGGTGTCTCTTTTGAGTCTTACGTCTTCTCTAATTGTTTTTTTAAGACAGCACAATGGTGTGTTTGGCTTTTCTAACTACCAAATCTGATGCAATGTAATTACTTAATTAGATCAGATTATCGTTCATATTAAACTCAAAAATCTCCTGACAAGAGCTCACAGATGAAATAAGCTGAAATCAACCAGTGCTTGTCTTAACTCATCCTTTGTGTATCCAGCCTCAGTCACCAAGGCTGAGCTGACAGAGGAATGGCCCCTGTTAATGGAATAATCTAGGTCCCAGTTAAGCCCGAATATGAAACCAAACATGAACAGCGGCACTTCCAAGTCTCTCTTTCAACACTGCCATATGGCAGGAACACAGGTAGTGTCCTGAAGAGGTCTCTCTCAGTATACAACCCCCCCCCCCAGCTCCAGAGTCCAAAGCCTCTCCACATGACAGGACTTTTTTTTTTTGGCCGTGCCACGTGGCTTATGAGATCTTAGTTCCCCGACCAGGGATTGAACCTGGGCCCTCGGCAATGAGAGCCGGCATCCTAACCACTGGACCGCCAGGGAATTCTCCAAATGACAGGACTTTTTAAAAACACTTTTTAAATTGAGGTATAACACATACACAGTTGTGTGTGATAACTAGTCTCACGCTCCTTTCCCAGTCAATACCACTCCGCAACCCAGAAGTAACCACTCTAGTGAGTTCTATAACCACCAGTTAGTTTTGCACATCCTTGATCTTCATTTAAATGGAATTAAACAGTATGTACTCCTCAGCATCTGGCTTCTTTCACTTATCATATTGTCTGTGAGATTTTGGTACATCAGGGACATTCAAGTAAGAGACCCCCTGCTTACTTCTCTTTCTCCCCCCACTTGACTTAAATCTCCGTGGCAGCATGAATCATGTCTATCGCCTTCATGTAGTATAGTGTCCACTGTAATAGGGATATAGTACCTATTTGTTGAAAAAAAAGAATAAATAAGATGTCACAGTTTAACACTGAGAAACATACCCTTAAGAGTGGATTTTAGGTATTGCGTTGGCCAAAAATCTCGTTCGGGTCTTCCGTAACAGCTTATGGAAAAACCCTAATGAACTTTTTGGCCAACCCAATACTGTGGTGAATCAGTGGACGAGAAAAAGACTAATTTTCTTCTGAAACTCCCCAAAGCATTATTTATAATCACTTGACTACAGCCATGCGGATAGAGATTTCGTAAACTTTCTACTAGATTTTCAGTATTGTGTAGGTAAACTCAGGGTAAAATTATAAAAGTTTTTACAGTAGGGCTCTTTAATCTGGGAGTTGTGGATGGGTTTTGTGAGGGCCTGAAACTGAGGAGAAAATTTTGTGTGCTATTAGATATATCACTCAGGTTGCAAGTGACAGGAGCCCCGAGTAGGACTAACTTAAATAACAAAGGGGATTTCGCAGGGCCTCTCACTGTTGTGGCCTCTCCCGTTGCGGAGCACAGGCTCCGGACGCGCAGGCTCAGTGGCCATGGCTCATGGGCCTAGCCGCTCCGCGGCATGTGGGATCTTCCCGGACCGGGGCACGAACCCGTGTCCCCTGCATCGGCAGGCGGACTCTCAACCACTGCACCACCAGGGAAGCCCAACAAAGGGGATTTGATGGCAGGGTCTTGGTTTGCCTCATGGAGTCCAAGAGAGACATGCACAGCCATGCTCCGGAAGGGCACAACCAGGGAAGCTCAGGGTCTGGGGCCACAATCCATGCCAGTACAGAGATGCTTCATGCCCTCCTGGCTTGAAGGTACCTGATTGGCAGAACCCAAAGCACATCTGAAAGTCTAGCTTCAGGGGAATCTAGAAAATGTAGTTTTTAGCTTTCCAATTTCTACAGACCATTCCAATTCTACAGAACCCTAAAAGAATGTTGTAATAGATCATAGCATTTTTTTTCTTTAAGACCCCAGGCATGGCCTCAAAATCCTTCTCAACCTAGCACTGTGCTGCCAATGGCACTGAGTTGGATCTACAGGTTGTCATCCATGTACCATAACATGTTGCTCCCAGACCTCTAATGCATAGCTCTTAATTCTGTTAAGGAAAAAATATGCAAAACTTAGGAATAGGCAAAACAATGGCTGCATGTCTTTTTAATGTTATATTGGAACACTGTTTATAGCATAATTTCCTATAATGGATAACATAACTGTCTGTCCCAGAAAGGCAGACCACAAACTCGCAACAAAAACTGCTTAAGCTCAAAGTGTTTTAACATCAACCCATTCAGATCCATGTGTTCCAAGGTTCAGCAACCTGTGTGGTTTACAAATTCTGACACATGTTTATTCCCTATCCAGACCAGCCTTAGAACCATCTGAGCGCAGCCCCAAAGCTCTATATGTATGTAGCTTCTCTAACTTCCTTCTTCTAAGTCACCACTAAAACCGTGAACTTGGGGCTCTCCCTTACTCAGCAAGTTTAATAATCTTGCTTCATCTGATCAAGGGGTGGCTCTAGTGGTCTTTGTGGGAGATTTGACAAAGTCTGTACGTGTCATATTGCTGTACAGTGTCAATGACAAAGATAATACAATTTAATAACAAGTTTGATGTCCTTTATTTATAGGAAAACAATCCATGGATTGCGGGAGTACAGTGCCTTATGAGCAGTGGAGCACTGTTCCCAAGGGATTTGGGGCAAGAGGGGTTTTTATACAACATTAGAAGCAGCAACGCAGAAACGGGGCATGGTTGGCTAGAAGGTCAGGGATTTCCTAATAAGGTTACCACATCCTATTTTCTAGGATAAGATGAGCTAGCTAAAGCTGAATTGGAGGACTCTGATTAGCGTATGTTAGGTTTCCTAGACGGTGAAGTGTTTTCCTCAAGTGTGGGCTGACTTAGGTTTCGATTTGTGATGTGAGCTGGGCCACTGGGGCAGCCTCTATGATGTGGGTCCTGATTCACATTTCCTTTATCAATAGAAAGCGAAGAGTGGGAGAAAAAGAAAAAACAAGAACATCCTCAAATACAACATGAAGGTTCCAGTTAGCATAGACTTTGTGAAAATTAATAAAGGGAAACCTCACTTAAATGGAGTCAGGAGGCCAGAAGCGGGAGCTCTCATGCATGTATCAGTCGATATCAATACAGATGCCAACAGGAAGAGACATACTTTGCATCTCCAGCCATAAATGACAGTACTTTACTACTATGCTTAGGAGGAAGAAAGATTTTCTCCTTGCCTGGCAACAGCTCAGCCAATGAGAGACTGTCACAACTCAGTCAATGAAAACCCACTATACTTCAAACTCCCACTTTCCTTTAATGGACTTGTTTATAACAGCCCCTCCCAATTTCCCCTTCCCTATGAAAGAGTTTTTTCTCCTTGCTTTACCAGGCTTGCATGTGGTTCGCCATATTTGCGTGTCCCAGACTGCAATTCTTTGCTGTTGCCAAATAAACCTAGTAAAATAACTGGCTGTTTTATTGTTTTAGGTTAACAACTTCATGGAATTAGTAATAAGTCAACAGGAGTATCCACCATCCTCGATTTGGGAACGGTCCTCTGCTTACACTGGCAGTGGATCCAAACTATGGTTGGATGGTGGAAACTGCTATAGAAGGAAAACACTGGGGAAGTGTTGAATGCAATCTCTCTCCAGACAAACTGCCCTGTACCTGCCAGAAAGCATGGGGTGATTTTTCTGGTCCTATCTCTGCAGTATTTGATAATGTTGATCATTCCCTCCTTAAAATTCCTCTGTAGACTTCCATGACACTGTGCTTTCTCAATTATCTTTCATCGTTTCTGATAATTCTTTCTCAGTCCTTCATGAGCAGGAAGATCAAGCAAGTTAAGGACTAAGAAGTGACCGTTGAGATAGTAGTTATGATGTCATCCATAATTTTAACAAAAGCAGTGGAGTGGCGGAAAGAAGACAGATTGCCAGGGACAGAGGAAAGAGAGTGACTCTGGGTCTCCATTTCAAAAAGCTTGGAGGTTTTGTTACTGCTTTTGTTTGCTTATTGTTTTTGTTTCCTTGCTTGCGTTTTGCTCTCTCTTTTCTACTTTATTAATGCAGCTCTCTAAGCAGTTACTGTACATCTGCCATGCAGGGGAGCTATTCCCAGAGCTGCTGAAATGCAGTGATGGCAAGAACCCTCCCTGTCTGCCAGGAGCACGTAGCTAAGCTTGATGAGAAGCGGAGCACAGCGGAAATCACAGAAACTGTTGAATGCCCCAGGCATCCCTGGGTTACCTGGAGAGATTCGCTTTTAAAAATTTAAGAGGCTTGAACGTATTTACATAGGAAGATAAAAGCTAGAGATATGTTAATGTACTTTCAAGTTGGTACTTTATAAAACTGAACCTTACCACATTAAGCCAGAGGCATCCATAGAATAGAAGACTTTAAAGATTATTACAGCAGGAATGCAAAGAGAAACTTCTAATTTTAATCACCAGAATAGCCTCTGAAACCCAATTCAGAGATTGTGGTTCAGAATGAAAGTGTGTATTCCTGTACAGTTTACTACCTATATTAACATGTCTTTACTATTCCAGTGTCTTCGTCAGCATGACTTAACTACCCCAGGAACTTTTGCCTAGGAAGATAAAAATGTAAATACCTTAATTGTTCTATTCAGTAAAGGAAGTCAGACTAATCAACATCTCAATACATAGCATCAAACAACTCTTTGTTTTCTAAGACTTGATTGAAATACCTCATTGTGTCCATCAATCCTAAAACTACTCTGTCATATCATACGAAGTTCTGATCCTTAATCCTCATCAAGCCTCCGGAACAAAACAGCAGCCTTAAACCAGAACTGCCAAAAAAAACCTTGTAAATATCCCAATTTTCCCTTCGTCCTTTGGAGATGCTATAAGACTGTCAAGGTAGTGATCTCCATGAATTCAGTAACCAATAAGCTCAGTTTTGCTCATCAGCAGTTTATTTTGGTGGTATTTGGGGAGAGCTGGTACTGGACACAGTGTAAAAGCCAGTGCTTGTGATTTGCATGAGCCAAGGTTTTTGAGGAAAGATAAGGTGTTTGGAAATCAAAGGGTAGAACCCTTAAAGGAGTGAGTAATAAGGTTTATTCATAAACAGACTTTATTTTTTTATAAAATTTGTATTGGAGTATAGTTGATTCGCAATGTTGTGTTAGTTTCAGGTGCACAGCAAAGTGAATCAGTTACACATATACACATAGCCACTCTTTTTTAGATTCTTTTCCCATATAGGCAATTACAGAGTTTTGAGTAGAGTTCCCTGTGCTATACAGTAGGTCCTTATTAGTTACCTATTTTATATATAGTAGTGTGTATATGCCAATCCCAATCTCCCAGTTTATCCCTCCCCCCCTTACCCCCTGGTAACCATAAGTTTGTTTTCTACATCTGTGACTCTGCTGTTTTGTAGATAAGTTCATTTACACCCTTTTTTCATTCACACATAAGCGATATATAAACAGTGACTTTAAAGGAGAGAGGAGATAAGTCAGAAAGAGAAAGACAAATATCGTATGCTAACACATATATATGGAATCTAAGGGAAAAAAAAATGTCATGAAGAACCTAGGGGTAAGAGGGGAATAAAGACACAGACCTACTAGAGAATGGACTTGAGGATATGGGGAGGGGGAAGGGTAAGCTGTGACAAAGTGAGAGAGTGGCATGGACATATATACACTACCAAACATAAAGTAGATAGCTAGGGGGAAGCAGCCGCATAGCACAGGGAGATCAGCTCGGTGCTTTGTGACCACCTAGAGGGGTGGGAGAGGGAGGGTGGGAGGGAGGGAGACGCAAGAGGGAAGAGATATGGGAACATATGTATATGTATAACTGATTCACTTTGTTATAAAGCAGAAACTAACACACCATTGTAAAGCAATTATGCTCCAGTAAAGGTGTTAAAAAAAAAAGAGAGACAGGAGAAAGACATGAATGACCCCATATGAGGGTGGAATTAGGATTGCCCTGGTTTGGGAGATGGGCAGGCTGAGAGGTTTGATGAAGGAGAAAAAGGAAAGCCACAGTCTGAAGGGCCTACGCAGACCCAAGGAGCCTCAGGGGCACGCACAGTGGTTGTCTTGTTTGAGCACCTTCACCCTGTCACAGCTGTGGCAAAACCCATCTCTACTTTGTAACTGTCCACCTATTACATTTATGTACTAAGACATGTTTCTGCACAATATGGTCAGAATCTCTGATGGGCCTGAATCTGCCTTTTTAAAAAGGAAACACTCCAGGTTCTGTTTTACACATTTAGTTATAAAAACCAGTGTCCTAAAAAAAAAAAAAAAAAAAAAGCCCAGTGTCCTGGGACTTCCCTGGTGGCGCAGTGGTTAAGAATCCACCTGCCAATGAAGGGGACATGGGTTCGAGCCCTGGTCCGGGAAGATTTCACATGCCGCAGAACAACTAAGCCTGTGCGGTACAACTACTGAGCCTGTGCTCTAGAGCCCGCGAGCCACAACTACTGAGCTAGTGTGCCACAACTACTGAAGCTCGCGCGCCTAGAGCCCATGCTCCGCAACAAGAAAAGCCACTGCAACAAGAAAAGCCACCGCAATGAGAAGCCCATGCACTGCAACGAAGAGTAGCTCCCGCTCGCTGCAACTAGAGAAAGCCTGCGCGCAGCAACAGAGACCCAATGCAGCCAAAAAATAAACAAATAAATGAATAAAAATTAAAAACAAAAAAACCCCAGTGCCCTAAGGGAAAGGAGCTAGGACAGTGGAAAACGTTAAATACACACGTGAGATAATATTATTCATACTATTGTAATATGAAGAATGCTTGTAAGTATTCAAATTATGGCTTTTCAAAGAGATGTTTATTGCCTTATAAGAAAAATTACTGTAAACTTACATGTTAACTTTGTGTTCAGTAGAGATGTCCAGTAGAAATGAGAACCCCAAAGGTTATTGGTTTTATCGTCCTGTAGGATATTAATAGTTTTGTGGCTAAATAAACTTATTTCAGCATGTTTTTCCTGCTTGAGTATATAGATTTCAGTTTCTCAAATGATCTTTGAACCTGCCTTGCTATGCTGCAGGTTCCTTCATTAACAAATGAAGCAGGGCTTCCCTGGTGGCGCAGTGGTTGAGAGTCCGCCTGCCAATGCAGGGGACACGGGTTCGTGCCCCGGTCCGCGAAGATCCCATATGCCGCGGAGCGGCTGGGCCCATGAGCCATGGCCGCTGAGCCTGCGCGTCCGGAGCCTGTGCTCCGCAACGGGAGAGGCCCCAACAGTGAGAGGCCGGCGTACAGAAAAAAAAAAAAAGAAGCAAATTTTTACGCACATTTACTCTATATTTGGGAATGTGTAGGCATAGAATGACAATTCGGGCTCTGGCTGTTACCCTGAAAGAATTCTCAGGATAAACAACCAGGTCGTACCGTATAGCACAGGGAACTATATTCAGTATCCTGTGATAAACCATAATGGAAAAGAATATGAAAAAGAATATACAATATATATATGTCTAACTGAATCACTTTGCTCTACAGCAGAAATTAACACAACATTTTACATCAACTATACTTCAATAAAATAAATTAACAAAAAATAAATATCACCCATTCTGTTTTCGGCTCCACCCTGCATCCTGCCTCGAGAAGGCCCTCACCCTCTGGCTCCTTAGCTTTACTGGGGATTCTGTGACATGGAGAGTCATGCTTTTCACGGGTTTCCCACTTTGCAGGCACTTAGCTTTTCCTGCTTGATCATGTCCTATGCCACTTGGCCATCCACTTTCCAGTTTTCAAAATTTTGTTGTCATATCTTGTCTGCTGTCATCTTCTCTAGGGCTGTCTGTTTCTTTTCAAGCTTGTGCCTTCAAAAATTTCCTTTCAGTGTTTCTGGTGGGGTTTCAAGAGAGATCCAAGATATATGTATGAGGTCAATTTGCCTTGTTTAACTGGAAGTGCATGCGATTCTAAAATATACCCCAAAATACAGCAGTGATTTCTCTGTTGTGGTGCTCCAAGGACAATGGTGCTTCAAGGACAAAGGATGACCCTGCCAGAAAAAGTTTCGGCGTTTCACCCCCTACCGGACTCTTAATCCCCCTCCCTACTGTGTTGCGATGGTTACGAAATTCCTGAGCCCACCTGGGCGACTCCCACAGGTCAACAGGACCTGTCCCAAATAAGGAAAGGCATATGCCCTGTCCCACTCCCACCCTATAGAAGGAAGGTATATGTGGCTCGACCAATCAGTAAATGAAATTTTCACCTCGGACCATTCCTTTGTTTTCTGGCTATGAAAACTGATCAATAGCACATGTTCGGGCTCGACTCTCCCAGACTACCAGGAATTCAGCCCGCTGTTCTGGCAGCGACCTTCCCTCTAATAAATTCTATCTTCTTTACATTCTGCCTTGTGTCTGGAAATTAGCATATGTTCGGGCTTCTCCCAGACTACTAGGAAGTCGGCCCACTGTTCTGGCAGCGACCCTTCCCTCTAATAAATTCTATCTTCTTTACATTCTGCCTTGTGTCTGGAAATTCTTTTCCAACCCACTTTCGGACTACGACATCCATCAACTGAAGAAACTCATCAAAGGTGGAGAGAGGGTGAAAGTCCTGGTGATTGAGCCATTTGTGCCTTAGTGTGATGTTTAAAAAGTCCAAAATTTGATACTGAACATTAGAAATCACAATATTTTGGATCTCGAGCGATAAGTTCAGACTATCCAATGTATTAAATGCATCACTGAATCGTGCTCTGGAAAGGAGCAAGCCCTGGAATAGTCAGAAATGTTCTTTACTGGCATTATGCATTTCACGCTTATACGAGCACCTTTTTCTGGGTAGTTAACGCACTCTGGTATGAAAAAGTCATCTTATACGTGTCACCTATTACTTTTCAGAGCACACTGAAAAAAGCATGCCCTGAGTGGGAGCAGTTTAATTGGATTACTTCCACAGAGTCAAGAGGCATATTGCTGACGTCCAACTGTCCTGAGTGAATAAAGGAGCGTGAAAAAACTGTCATTTTATTCACACACTATAATTGGCGTCTGTTATCACCTCCTTCCCCATCATCTATTCAACCTTCTCTTGGTCTGATTCCCTGATTTTCCTTTGGAAGATCAGCCCTTCTGGCATCTCAGACTCTTTGCCTTGGTGAGAGTGGAATTCGTCCCCATTTCCAGAGATGGATGGTGACTCAAGTGTGGCCAATCAAAGCATTGCATTCCTTTGACCAAAGACTGATTCATGGATGGGTATGTGACTCAGTTAGACCTAGCGAGATTCAAGTTGACGGTAGTTGGGGCTATTGGAAGACTGGCAACTTGAGA